AAAAAAAAAAAAACTCTAAACCAAACAAGATAATAGGCTAATCGAATTGGTGGATAGCCTTTGATAAGATCAAGATAATTATATCATTTTCAATCCAAATCCATTATTGAATCAATCACACCCTTAAAGTACTACGGTGGTGTTGTGGAATTTCCTTAATTTGGGGTTTTCCAACTCTAAACTTACTGTCATGCACGTATAACACGTGAAGGCCTTACCGTATGTATTTGTATCTGTAATTTCGTACCTACGACATATCTCTATCTGCACTCCATAGTTAGACACGCCACTCCACTTTTGACCATCACCGACTCTCGCATCTGATATTATTAAGCCACCCCACTTGGAAGACTCAAAATTCTGCTGGAAGCAGTAAAATCACATTCTTCCTCAGTTAATACTTCCATGGCTCCCACACTGGCACACTCAAATTGTATATACACTCTGGGAGCCTCTCTTTTTCGCTCTGCTATATCACATTGCATACGGGAAATTAAGGTAATTGAGTGTGAGCCCACAATTCTTTTTCCTTTTTATATACTACTAAGTAAATTTATATTTAAATTTTTGGATTAAAAGGGTGTTTAGTTAATGATTTGATCTACTGGTTAAAATTGCGTCTTTTTTCTAAATTGTTTTTGTTCATGGTTTGTGGACTTCAATATTCTTAGCTAATGATTTGATTTCAACGTTGTTTGTGGACTTCAATATTGGTTAGTTAACGATTTGTGGATTTCAATATTGTTTAGTTAATGATTTGATTTCAATTTTGTCTGTGTATTTCAATATCGTTTTGTTAGTGATCTGATTTATGGGTTAAAATTACGGAGTGATCTGATTTATGGGTTAAAATTACGGAAAAGACTATAGTCGCGTCACGGAATGGTCCCGTGAGGGATAGTCTATGACTAAAATCCCTCACGGAACCCTTTCGTGACGGGACTGTAGCATTTTCCTAAAATTACATATTGCTCAGTGTCATGTTTGGTTTGTGGTTGCATTATTGTTCGTGGTTGCTGGTTGGTGCAGTTTTGTCGAGTAATAAAAAGGATGACAAAAAAAAAAGTTAAATAAAATAAATGAAATTTTGCTTAAGGTGATTTTAGCAATTCCAATTTGCTTATTCAATGCTGTCATCTTTAGTTTGATACTTAAGAAGTAAGAACAAATGAAGTTTGGTTAATTGGTTTTCTGTTTATTCAAATACGGGGAAATGGTTGTGAGAAACTGGAAAGTTTATTTCTTTTAGATCAAGAATTCTTGTCGAGTTTCAGTGATGACTCTTCTTCAACTCAAAACATGTGCCCATTAGATGGCAGATGTTAATTGATTATGAAATCAATGATTATTAATCCAAATGTTGTTTTGTCGAAATTTATGTCGTGTGGATTTAGAGAATGGATGACCGAGTCTTCTAGAGAGTTTCTGTAAGCTACTACTTCCATAAGATGTTTTTGTAACTTATGAAGTTTAAGGGCTGCTCTAGCAATCAGCGGTTCAAGTGTTTGGAGTGATGTCAGTTGTGTTAGATCTGTTACGAAATATTGTTGTAAAAAATAAAGTTTTATCTCAAAATATAACTCGAAGATTCCTGCTTTAGCCGAAAAAATCTCATGAGTTATTACCATCTGATTACAACAAACACTTTCTCAGAGCTTATAATAAAAGCTTTTCAACATTGTACAAAAAGGTTAGGAGAGCTTATACCTTAGTCAAATACTCTCATTGTAGATTAGCTTTTTGTTTTTCTATTTTGCTTTGCTCTCATCAAGTTTTACATTTCTTGATCACCAAAAAAAAAAAAAAAAAAAAAAAAAAAAAAAAAAATGAAGGAAGGAAGGAAGAGAAAAGGAATAGGGGACATGGGTCGTGGAGTAAGCAGTGGTGGAGGACAGAGCTCGTTGGGGTACTTGTTTGGCACTGGTGAGGCCCCAAAAATGGCTTCCCAGAAAGCTAAAGCTGAAACTAGTGCTGCAGGTAAAGAACAGTCTCCAAAGCCTAATGCAGCCCCTCAGCCAGTGGATGTCGCCAAACAGATCCCAGCCGGCATTCATAGTAGCACGGCTAATAACCATGTCCGAGCAGATGGTCAAAACACATGCAATTTCATCACGGTTCCTTTTCTTTTCCTTCTCTGTTGACTATATGTTCTTTTGCTGATCATTGTGCATTTTATGTTGACAACCATTTTAACCGTAACTTCAATTCTGTTTCCACAATTAACATGATTTTTTTTTTTGCCTGAAAGTTGTAAATTGACTGAGTGGAGCCCAAATTTGAGTTTGTACCCTTAGGAAAGATTATTTTTGAATTGGCTCTAGATGGTCAGCTATTTCAGAAAAACTAATGGTTTTCCCTTGAACTCATGTCCCTCCGCGCTTTTGGCTTGTAACCATAGTTGCAGACTTGCAGTCATCAATCCTGCAAGTATTTATCTGATTTTATTGGTGTTTCTGTACAGTAAATTTATTCACACAGACATTAACATGACTTTGTTTCAGATTTATAGTAATGTCTACCGACGTATATGGTCTGTTAAGATAAATTGTGTTATTTCTTTCTCAGGATCGACCATCAACTAAGGTCCATGCTGCACCTGGAGGAGGTTCGTCTTTAGGTTACCTTTTTGGTGGGGGTAGCAACTAAACTCAGCCGAAAGCTCATTAAAATTTGGTCATATATGGCTAGGCTGCAAAATCCTCATGCAGTAGTATTTAAAATTTTGTGAAATTTGAAAGTATATATAATGGTGTCTTCTATCTTTATGTGTCAGTTTGGAAAGGTGAATTGTGTATTACTAGTATGCAAAGTTGTGCTTAATGTGTTGCCGGAGGATATAACAAAACTCTGTACTACGTAAGCATCTATCTCAAGGCGCCATTTGTATAATAAAATCTTGTCTGTACTATAACTGTCAGGTTCTTGTAAAGAACTCGAACAAGGAATAATGTGTATGATGAAAGTAGATAATGTGTTGTATTGTTTGTTGTTGCTATTTTCATTTCCCTAGCATGTTTCCTTGCTGTCTTTAGAGTTTTAGACCTGAACAGAGATGAAGAGTATCTAAGCCTGAACAGAGGACAAAATTATGCAGAATGATGAACAAGTTCCAACAAAAGAAATCTTACAGGAAGGTTTATTCATACATTTAGGTGTCTTTTTGCTCATTACTTACAAATGACTAGCCACAGAACTGATCTTTCTCATCATAAACTGAAACCATCTTGCCAAATGATTACGAAAACACTCATCACTTCTGGCGTAATCACAACAATTCAATTCTCTTTCAACTTTAAGATAAATTTTTGCAAACTCAATCTCTTTCAACACAACACAATCTGTGAGGTGCAGTGTGTAAAAGCTAACATGCACAAAATCCCAAAAGAAAGCTCCATAACACCCTAAACACACACCCTCTCTCTCAGGCCGCCCGTAAATGAGCTGGCAATGGAGGGGCTGGAATAATCCCCAATTTTCGACGCACATCCTCCAAATCCTCATGAAAATGCCGCTCGTAATACACACACATCAAGTCTGTACACCGCACACCAGCTTTGAGAGCCCAAGGAAAGTAATGCCGATAGAACAAGTTCCTCTGCTTCTCACTAAATCTCACACTACCCCCCACCACGGATAGGGCGCACATGGGCAGTAGCATCTGCTCAAATTCTATGACCTTCAGGGCAGACTCGCCTATCAAATTCGTAGGCAGCCCAAAAAGGGTGTGCCAAAAGTCATGCACCTCACGTGCTCGTGTGGCAACATAGGCTATTTCTTCAGTTTCCATGAAACGAACCGGTGGCCGGTCATCTGGGGAGAAGTTTCTGGATCCCATGAATTTTGCGTAGGCGGCACCGAAAGTGTTGGGCGGGAGGTCCCACGCGTGGCCCACGCTGGCGGAGACAACACGAGGACGCTCTAGTAATACAGCCTGTGAGGAAAAAAAGGGCCAAAGCAAAGTTTCAGATTTTTGTGTGCTGTTCAGATGTTCGGAAGTAAATACATTTGTCTTTTTTTTATTATTTTTTTTTCAATATAGCCATTTGCTTAATAAATCTAAAGGAAAATTACGCGGTCTAGAAAAGGCAAACTTGGCAACTTGAGGTTTCAAGAAGAGCCTTTCATATCATACCAAGCAAATGGCAATGCACTTGGTAACCTCAGGCACACACCGTTCTATATAAGATATAATCAAAACTGAAACCATGGAACCATCAGTGCAATGCTGCTATATCACAAAACTTTCCTATTTGTCTTGGACTCTGACATGTCTCATTCGTGAAGGTCTGCAATTTTAAACTGTTGAATATGCAATTTGTATGAGCTTCAAGAAAACTTTCAACTGTTGAAAATCTATTTTGTATGAGCTTCAGTAAAACAGCATTCTGGTCGAGGACTAGGTAATATAGACATATCTCTTGATGCACTAAGCAAGGCTGCCACTTGCCATCTCTTCCACTTAACTAGATAACAAGAGAGCATACTAACTCCAATCAACTACGGAATGTGTACGTGCAAAATTCATGATCAAGCATAGAAATGGAACAATGCTTGCAAGTGAATAGGCAACAAACTAACTTTTAAATAATTAACTGCCAATGATCAATAAAAAGCTCACCCTGCCTTCTGGACTCCTCTTCATCCTCTCAAGCACCCTTTCGAATGCAGGTTTTCCCGTCGTCTCCCCAAGAGCAGCAATCAAGTCGGCTCTTCGTGGGTCCAATAATGCCCCAACAGCTGATCCAACTGCAACGGCGGCTTGCTGCCACCACTTCAGCCGTGGACGAGCGCCCTCTATCATTTTTCGCTGATACGCCATGTCAAAATTATCAGAACAAAAGGGAACTTGAAGCGAAATTTCAGAAGTTAACCATGGCAACATAATGTGGGAAGTGCAAGCTAATGGGAATTCAAGAATAAAAAACAGGGAAATTTTTACTCTGCCTGAATTACTGCACCGCTACGCACATACTAACTATTGAAGTGTTCATTATCACTTTTGAATGTAACTGAATGTGTAAGTTACAGAAAAAATGAAGAAAAAAGAAACGACTAATTATACAAGAACACCTAAACATATAAAATCCAGATATCGTTTGAAAGTTATAAAAGAACATGTGAACATATATGATTTCTCATGCTCCAACAAAATCCACAATCAAAAAGAAACGACTAAATATTAATTAACAATTAACAAATCAAAATATCTTAAAAATGTTTGGAAATCTCAACTAAATAATGAAATCAAATCATTGTGAAACAGTTTATGCTTCGAATTTCTTTATTGTTTACCTTCGTTGTCAACAATAATCCGCACAGAGTAGCCGTCGGTCGGCCGAAGGTGGAGGACAAGGCTATGAGGAAAGTGGCTGTGTGCGGGGAGCGGCCCAACGGAAGGCGCCGACGGTGATGACAATGGACGGCGAGCCGGGCGAGGTAGGCGGCGACTGCGGCGAGCGGGTAGCGGATGTTTCTTCCCGACAGGGCCGGAATTCGGATCCGGAACTATATCAAACTCTCTCTGTGGCTCAAGGGATTTTAATTGATCAAATTTTCCTAAAATACAGAGAACATTCAATTGAAGTTGATGAAAAACAAAGATTGAAAAGCCATTTATAACCTATAAAATTACCGTTTGAATTTTGGGGTTGACAGAGATATGGGGAAGATGATAAGGCTGGAAGCAAGATCGAGATTTGGAGGAGCCGAGGAAAAAACGATCGGCCATCATGTTTGTTGAGTCTTCGTTAATTTGGGATTTTATTTACAATTTTTTTTTTTTTTTTAAAAAAAAAACTGATTTAAGGAATAAGGATTAATAAGTAAGAATGGTGAAGGAGAGGGCTTGGGGCGGCTTCGGCCACACCGCCCTTGTCCGGCCATTGTCGGTGTCGTGACTCGTTCCTTGCCTTGCGCCGGTTGTAGGGGCGCCTACCTAGTTTCTACTTTGTCAATTTTTTAAAGGTAGACAGCTTTCGGTGTCCTTGTGTCAGCTGCGCTCTTGGTCCTCCAGATCCGCGTCCAATGTGGGATTGTTGCTCGGTTGTGGCCAGCCTCAACTCCATTTTGGTCCTTTTTGTATGATCCATCCGACGTTCTTAGTCGGAGCCTTTGTAGTGGCTCCAGTCTCCGGTGTCAAAGATCTTCGGATAACTATGTTCATGTGTGATTTTACACCATATTTATGGAGTATCTAGAACTTAGTCATTGCATTATTGGTGTATAAATTGCATATTTTATGTTTTAATTCGATATTTGTTTGAAAAATATTACACGTGTTTGTTTTGTAGATATTTTCACATATTTGTAGAGCTTTGGCTATTGGAGGCGCACGTTGAGTACCTAGGACCCCCGGTATGATGAAAACTTGAAGCACGGATGAGAAAAATAGAAGAAACGAGCGAAACGGGCAAAAGCATGCATGTAGGGATGTGACACGGGCAGTGACACGGGCATCATGCCCGTGTCAGAGGTCGTGTCACCTAACAGATTGGTTTCAAGGATTTATATGTAACACGGGTTGCGACACGGCCAGTGACACGGACAGACTGGTCGTGTCGCGTGCGCAGACTGATTTTTATTCTTGCCTTTTTGGATAAGGAGAAGGCTTTTGGACATATAAAAAAACATATTTACCTTATTTGAGGGGAGGAACGTGAATATGCAAGGAGAAGAGCCCTAGAACACACAAGAGAAGAAATTGGGGAGCAAAAAGAAGATCAACTCCAAAGGGATCCAGAAGATTGAAAGATCGACGAGATTCCTAGTTTCTATTTCTTCTTTCCTTTTGAACTTTTATTGATCATGTCGATTTCTAATATGTCTATGTATTTTTGAATTCGAACATGAGTGGCTAGTTTCTTCGATTTTAGGACTTGGTAGTAGATTAATATGTTGGGATTTTGGATGATTTATTTATAATTAATTGTTTTTCTTTTGAACCTTATTCAAATATTTTGTTCTTAGTTCATGTTTAGCACTTGATCAATATTTTTACATGTTGGACAATATTGTTCATAATTCGAGAGATGAGTTCAATATAAGAAATATTTGACACAATTTACTTGCTTGAATCGAGAAATTAGTAGGTCGTTGTGAGGATATTAGATCTTTTAATCTATTTGGAGTTGAGTTGCATGTGTTGAGTGGAGACGCTAATATATGTGATTTAATCTACAGTTTTATCGATCTCGAGAGGGACGATAAGCTAAATTTGTGATTATCTTATAGGGTATATAAAGAAAACATTTAGTTGTGATATTTTTGAGAATCCTAACTATTAATTGAACCCACAGTCTTAGAATCCCCCATTCTCATATCTTTGTCTACGTGTTCTTTAGTTTATTCATCGTTCTTGATTTATTTTCTCTTTGATTTAATTTCTTAGTTTAGTCAATCTATCCAATTTTTGATCGCCTAAATAAAGTTGTCATTATCATAATCTAGTACTGTATATATTAATTATTTGGTCTCTTGAGATATGACCTTGCTTGCCACATACTACGAGCGAAGCCATACATTTGCGGTCGAGCTTTAAAAATATAGGCAAACAAAATACTAACTATTAAATAGTACCCATCACACACCCCTTTTTTCATCTACCTTTTCCCTCCTAAACAAAAATTTTGATTGTTCACTTTTTTCAAAGAAAAAAATGCAATTCTCCTCCGCGCCACCAGCCCTAGCCGCCTCACACCCACCTCATTGGGATCCGGAATCTCCTCCACGACACCAGCTCTCACCGTCGCCCATGTCGCTCTCAAGTAGGGCGTTGCTATTGCACAAGACGATGACCACCGCCCACGTCATCCTCACTCAAGTAGCTTCAAGCCGACCCAAGATAATTAGAATCGTCATCAGTTTGAATAGAAAAAAGGGGTCGAGTTTCGCCGTTCGCCATCGATCCGAACATGGACTTCCTGTCGCCGCCGTATGCCAAAATGAATTCTCCACCCACGATCGTAAAGGTTGAGACCTTATGGCCCAGTCTATTGTCTCCGCTTCTCAGCTCCACACAGACGTCGTCAATGTCCCAATCTTCCATTGTTGCCATCACGAGAAACTCGAGACGACAAAGATTCTAAGTGCATATTTCTAGAGTTTTAGATGTGAATTTGGGGGTTAATGGTCTGAAGTTGATGGTGTATATTTTATGTGAACTTTGGATTTTAATGTTAATTTGATGATTTATTAATAGTGTATGTTTGATATATAAAAATTATTTTTAGTCGTATAACGAGATTTGATAATATAAGCATGTTATAAATTACAAATAAACTAAATATAAACTTAATAAAGAAAATAGTCAATAATTTTACAATAAAAGTGTGCCATTGAATGATGATTTACAACAATGGCATGAAAGAGAAGATTGAAGGCCTAGGTCGGCTGATTTCTCACCCTTTTCGAAGCCGACCAGATTGGCGAAGTCAGGAGGGGGAAATGGATGGCAATGATGTATGAGTAGAAATTGGCGGTGGCGTGATGGATGTTGCCAGAGAAGATGGTGGCATTGAGGAGAGAATAGAGTTGACCGATAAATTTTATTGGCCAAAGAATATTTTCTAAATATATTGCGTTTATACTCAATATATCTATTCACAAAAAGTATTCAACAACTAAAATATAAACACATGACAGAACTATAAATAAAAACAAAACAAAAAACATTAATATAAATATATGAAAACAACATAAACAATAATCAATAAAAATAATTTGCTCATTTGTCGTCTCATATAAATTTCCTCATCAACAAAAAGATTTTTTAATATACCAAACATAAACTCTAAATAAACATCAAATAAACTTAAAAAACAGATTCAATCGAAACTATTCACATGTCGCCGACTTGAAAGCTCCACCACCAACTAAGACCGACTGGGATTCTTCAACTTCATCTCTTCGCTCAGAAGTATTTGCATAGAGGGGCTTCTTGTGTGGGCCCTCCTCCGAGGTCGGCAACCACTAGCCTCATGTCATCCACCCGAACCGTGCGGGCCCTTGTCGAGGTCGGAGCCTTTGTCCTACGAGCTGACGACCTAAAGTGCATGGACAACTAGTTTCGCCGCCACCACAACAAGCGGATGCAACACATTTTCGATTTTACTCCCACCACTGGCGTACGTGGGCCACATGCTTCATCTAGGCTGCTTAGCGTAGGTACAAAAAGAGGAGGGTCGCCAAAGATCTTGCCCGAATGGAATAGTCCGTGGCGACGGCCCAGATGAGTGGTCATATTTGCCAATAGTTGTGTTATTATTTTTCGAGAAGAAGATAATAAAGATTTACAACAATGGCGTTAAAGAGGAGAGAAAATTGAAGGTGGAAAGCGAAATCTCAAGGCAGTTACCAATTGCATTTAGCTACCTTAATAATTATATTAAAAAACGAGGTAAGCTAAAATTTGAGAAAATTTGGCATGTATGCAAATATTTATGTCAAATTTTGTATGTTTTTAAATAAAAAATTATGTTAATATATATGCAATGTTTGTGATTTAGTTAATGCATGAGGTAATTTCCTTATTAGATATAAATGTGGGCAACAATTTGATATATTGAATTAGACACAATCCCACTTTGCAACCAAACTCACGGGAAATTTATGCAACTACCTTTATACATATAGGGTTTAGAAAAAAAAAAAAAAAAACAACAACAACATAAAAAAATATTAATAAAATTACATGTTTACTAAAATGCGTGTTATCAATAACTGCCTTTTCTTTTTAGATTGACAATAAGGCATTTATGAAGTTTTATGCCAAGTTTTTTCACCTTTCCTCAATCACTTCATCACCAAACCTCGCACACGTACACTTAAAAGCATAATTTTCTCAAAGCTTTCGAATTTTGAGACACGAGAAGACGACGGTGGGACTATGAGGCTGATGTGGTCGTTAGTAACGGTTTATGACGGACCGATCGTGATCCGGTCGTCACTGTCGTATGGGGAGGACTAGCTAAGGGTACCACCAAGGGGGTACCACCAAGAGGGTACCATCAATAGGGTACCATCGAGAGGGTACCGTCAAGAGAGTACCACCAAGAGGGTACCACCAAGGGAGCACCACCAAGAGGGTACCACCGAGGGTACCGTCAAGAGGGTACCACCAAGAGCGTACCACCAAGGGAACACCACCAAGAGGGTACCACCAAGGATACTACTAAGAGGGTACCACCGAGGGTACCACCAAGAGCGTACCACCAAGGGAGCACCACCAAGAGGGTACCACCTCGGCACTAAGGAGTGACGACTTGTTGAGGTGCGACGACCTGTTGAGGTGGGACGACCTGTCTAGGTAGCTGGGCACCTCGGCAGCTAGGCAACTCGGCAAAACGGTCCTGTCGAGTGGACCATAGCTCGGAGGTAGTCTTGTGCTCAAGTCATGAAGAGGTTCACAATTTCAAGGACTCTAAGGATTCAGAGTCTCTTGACTTGACTAAGAGGTATATACGAAGAAGGCTTCTTGTCCCACCAGGATTCCTTAGCCCCAACTATAAAAAGGGCACAGGTTCATTCATTTACATAACACACACGTACAAATTCTCTCGTTACTCTGCCATTTTCTCTTTGGACCTCCACTGACTTGAGCGTCGGAGTGTTCGCGCCGGGACCACCCCCGGCGTGTTTTGCAGGTACCGACGATCAAGGAGGCGCAACCCAGTTTGGAGAGGAGCGGTCCAGAGGTTCAAGTATTTGTGGTACAACAAATTGGTGCCATCTGTGGGGAACTCAGTCTTCTACCGGAGTATCAAAGGCTGATTTTCTCATCAAAGAAGAAGAGAACAAGGAACAAGGATCATGACAGGAGATAACTCAAAGAAGAACCTAACGAGGGATATGGATGAGGAGTGGGTTCGGAGGGCTTTCGGGACAGGTCCCCCACCAGGATGGTCACCGTCGCCTGTCACCCCCAAAGAGACACTGTTGGCCCCGAACGCGACCCCGACGCCACCACCAGAAGCTCAGGGGCACTCGGCGAACCTAGGGGGATCAAGTGGTATGGCGGACAAAGGGAAAGAGGTTGGCACCTTACTCGATGAGGGCGTGAATCAAGGCGTTTTGGGATCCGGGGGTGCTGGTGGTCAGAGTGGTGCCCTAGGTAGCGGGTAGGTGGTCGTGGCAGGAGGGCAAAACGCTCCAGGGGACAATGTTTCTTCAGCACCACAGGGGGGACCCAGTTATCCAGATGACCAGGTCGGAGTTGGATAGGATCATTGTTGAGGCGATAGGCCGAGCTAAAGAGGTGGATAGGAGAGCCCCTAATGAATTGTTTCGACAACCTCCGTCCCGGCAGCCACTCGCAGCTCAACAACAATACCAGCATTTGGAGAGGGGCGACGACGATGATGCAAGGTCGGTGACCTCTCACCCAGTGGCGAAGACACATCCGGATGGATTAACTTTGGAAAGGTTGGCAGCTCAAATGTGGGAACTCCAAGCTCGGGTGCAGGGTAAGAGACCTATAGTTTCACAAGGACACCCTTTTGCAGAGGATGTCTTAGGAGGGGATTTGCCCAGCAACTTCAGGGAGTTGATGTTGTCC